GGCGTCTCTTATGTTCTTATGTAATGTACTTCAGTTTTTTATACTGTTATTTGGTTATACCATTGTAATGTTTTGCTGGAAAATTAGTAAAATGTTTACCAAAAAAAAAAATTGTCCCTGATTCAGTGACTGATGCCAAGCAAATTTTCCATGGAGAATGACTTGTAGTCATCACAGTTCCCTTCAAGATGTGCAAGGGGGCACTGGCGCACAAAATTTTAACAGCTCAGAAAATTTCTGCTTCAGCACAGAGATACTGCTTCAGCCCATTGGAAACAATGGAGGATGGGGGCACCACATTTTGGGGCCCACAGAATTGGACCCCTTAGTCCAATCCTTTTGAAACTTAGGGAGAGTTTTGAGAAGGAGCACCAGCAGCTATGCTACAAATTTGGTGCTTCTACCTTAAAAAAAACAGCCCCCTCCGAGAGCCCCAGATACACTCTCCATTATAGCCTATTGGGCCTATTTATGATAATAGTCCCCATGGGCTACAATGGAGGTGGGGGAAAAGTTTTTCACACCCCATTATGCTTTTCAGTAGGATTTGTAAGCTGCCTTGAGTCACAGCGAAAAGTGGGAAATACATATCTGAATAAATAAGTAGTTTGGGTGGGTTGATAACATTTGAGCAACTTCCTGGTTTTTAAATTAGGCAGGGTTCTGACAGCGATTGTTCCTGAAGAAGTGAGCAGTGACTCACAAAAGCTCATATCCTACCACATATCGTTAGTCTTTAAGATGCTACAGGACTCTTGCTCTTTTCTACTGTTCCTCCTCTGTTATACTTGACCTGTAATGCTGGTTGTCATATTTCACTAAAAAAAAGAAAGTAGACTGCAAGAGTGTCCCACCCACCCCCAATGCTGGTATGTTTCTAAGGCTCAGCACAGGGTGATGGTCTGAGGCCAGGTCTACCAATATAGTAGACTGGAGTGGGTAGACCTGTTCTCCGGAGGCCAGGTCTACCAATACAGTGGAAAGGGGTGAGTAAACCTGCTCTCTGGAGGACAGGTCTACCAATATAATGGAAAGGGGTAGGTAAGATTTGACTTGATTCTGTTTTCTCTTATGTTTAAATTATTCTTAAAATATAGTTTAAATATATCTTTAAAAAAATTATTCTGAGATTTTTACAAGGTTATGGAAGTATATAGAAACTAATTTACATGATAATAGTTGTGTTCCCCCCCCCCCCCCCCTCCCCTTTCCCCGTTCACGAGGTAGAATTTCTGCTCACAACACTGTGGAGCTTAGGGGAAACATTGGTCATGAAATGATCTATGCCGCCTGCAAAATTTAGTGCATTAGAGCTATATTCTGGAGAACCACTTGCACTTCCCCACCCCATTCATTTTACTGTAGGGGACCAGTCAATCCACACATTCTATCTTATCTCTCCATAAAAATGAAACACCTCCATGTGAGCCTGATCAAGCAAACATGTAGCAGACTTGGACTGTACTTACTCAGGAGGACAAAGTCCCAATCAGAGGGGCTCATTTCTGCATAGGATTAAGCGCAACCAAAACTGTGCCATCTCTACTCAGTCTCATGGCCAAGCAGGTGGGGCTCTATGACCATCCTAAGAGTCTGGATCTGTGGGTTAAAGGCTACCAGTTCAGGAAACGTGATTGAAAGATAAGAACACTGTGTAAAAGGATTTTTTTTAAGCACTTTTGTACAGAATTGGCTCTTAAAGCAGAGGCTTAACATAAGAACATAAGAGATGCCAATGTTGGATCAGGCCAAAGGCCCATCCAGTCCAACACTCTGTGTCACACAGTGGCCAGAAATACCAGGTGCCATCAGGAGGTCCACCAGTGGGGCCAGGACATTAGAAGCCCTCCCACTGTTGACCCCCCCCCAGCACCAAGAAGACAGAGCATCACTTGCCCCAGAGCCCCTATCTGTACCTTGTGGCGAATAGCCACTGATGGACCTCTGCTTCTGAAAGGAAGAGCGCAGTTTATCACATTGGTCTCTGAAGAATACCTGCTTCACAGTTTATAAAGGGATTCTATCTGTGCGCCTCGGCGTCTAGTCATGCTGGCCACATGACCACGGGAATGTCTTTGGACAGCACTGGCTCTTCAGCTTGGAAACGGAGATGAACACCACATCCCTAGAGTCGGAAACCTTTACCCTATCATCATTTGGATCAACACAATAACTAATGTTTGTTCCTTTCAAGAGACAAAATATATTGAGGTTTACAAACATAGGCCTTCTAGTAGCCCTAATTTTAGGTATTCTATTTACGTTCAAACAGCTAAAGTTTCCATGTTCGTATAGCTTTTGTAGCACTGAGCAGTGTGGTTTCCCCCTGCATGTTTCTGAAGCAGTTTGTCCTTGGTCTTCGGACTACTATAAAACTCCATTAATAAAACAAACTCTCTCTCACACTCTTTTTAACATAAATAAAAATATGTGTGGCACAATTGTTCACTGGTTCCCTAAAACATGACACACCAACATGTACAATTTTGAGATGTCACAAAGGATATACTAAAAGAAAGAAAACAGGGAAGGAACTTTCAAAAGGAGAGCTCAACAACTTGGGCAAAGTACCCCTCAGATCAGCTGATCAGCATGACAGGATGAAAACGGAGAAGTTCCAATATTACTTTTGCAAATATTGTCTGAAGATAGATTCAACCAACAAGACCACGGTGTAATGTAACCAGTAAAACAATAAATCACCGTGTACAAATATACAATATAAGTAGATATTTATCTATAATGCTTTAGAAATCAAAATTACAACTATAACATTATATGATGCAATATTAAGCTTGGCAGTACATATAGAACACTACAGTATAGTCTCAGACAAACGACGGAGTTCTAGTATAAGTCCGTTTATGAGTCCTTCTTCAGGTTTGTCATCTGTACTCTTATCTTCATTAGAATGAAGTGCTGCAAGCATTATTTCACAATGTAAATTCTTATATAGTTTTTTGTACGCTATCGCGTTTAATCTGGTGACTGGGGAGCTCCTATATCATGCTCTCATGTGACAGAGTCTACAGGATACAATAGTTGGCTAAGCTCCCTCCGTCGTTTGTCTGAGACTATACTGTAGTGTTCTATATGTACTGCCAAGCTTAATATTGCATCATATAATGTTATAGTTGTAATTTTGCTGACAATTGATTTCTAAAGCATTATAGATAAATATCTACTTATATTGTATTATTTGTACACGGTGATTTATTGTTTTACTGAAAATAGATTCAGGCAAGTTGTCATGTCGGTCTGAAGCAGCAGAACAAAGTTTGAGTCCTGGGTCTTAAAGGTGCCACTGGATTAAAACTTTATTATGTGAAAATGACAAGGAAAGTGTTGCTAGTTTTCAGCTTCTCATTTAGTTGGAAATTTGATCTACGGTCTGCAGCTTCCTTCTATGGGGCCAAAGACAAAGCCCAGAATGAATAAGCTTTGGCACCAATCCTCACCCCACGTTTTATGTTATGCACTTGTTCTCGAACACACTGGAAATGCGGGAAAACATTTTGCCAGGAAGTCTGTGTACTCCACTGTTACATTTCGACCAATATTATCCTTCTATTAAAAAATGGAAGAGTGAAAAAGAGGGGGAAAGGAATTATGCCACTTCACTTTGACAGGATCATTGTCTTTGCTGACACTGCTACCCAAGCCATTATTTACTTAAAAGTTCCACTAAGTGCTATGGAATATGGTCTCAAGTGAAAGAAGAGCATAGGATTTAGCATTATGCTCAAGTTAATAGTACTAACAGTAAACAAGAATAAAGAACTGTCCTTTGAATCATTCCTAGTATGCTCAAGGCCCCCCCAAACAAGGGGCAGCCATTATTGTATAACCTTTTCATTTATTTCGCTCAGAATATTTTAGCCCAGAAAAAGAGTCTTTGTTCAAGAGAAATAGGCTTGCCAAGTCCCCATGGGGGGCGGGGAAACCCCCACCCCAGAGGCCCGTTCCCCGCCGGCGGCGGATTGGGCCCCGGGGGGGAACTCCACCCCGACGTGCACGTCACCCGGAAGTGACGCAACCATGCCGGGCACGCTGGGGGCGGGGCCACGGTCATCCGAGGGAAAACTCTATGCGTGCGCTCCAGACGCCAGCTGGGAGTCCCCCGCTGGCGGGTGGAGCGTCACTTGGCAACCCTAAAGAGAAATACTGAACAGGGGCCCATACATGTGTGGTAAACCTGATTTGCACTCTTCCATACTAAGCTGCGAGAAACTCTTTACAGTCCTGAGGGGGAAGACGCACTTTCCCATATGTATCAGTGGTTTCACTACATTAAGCCTCACGTCCAACGTTCCCTCTAAGCTGTGGAGTCTTGTGAGCAAAAATTCTACTTTGTGAGCGACTGGTGTTAAAGTTGTGAGCGAGCCATTTGGCTACTGCATAAATTAGTTTGCTCTGGAGCCCTCCTTCCTGAGATGAGACAAAAACGTGTGAGTCGTAGGCTTAAAAACTGTGAGCTAGCTCACACTGACTCAGCTTAGAGGGAACACTGCTCACGTCCCCACTTATCAGAATACAGTCCTCATATCTAGCTTGGGAAAACAAGAACAATATAGCCAAATAAAAAGTGGGCTTACAAGATCACCAAATGAAAAGTGTGTTTCATATATAAATATGTTACGTGTTGTCGATTCGATTCCAACTTATGGTGATCCTATGAATTAATGACCTCCAAAACAGCCCATCACTAGCAACTTTAGGCCATGCCTGCCTTTATTGAGTCAATCAGTCTCATGTTGGGTCTTCCTCTTTTCCTGCTGCCTTTTCCTATCTCCTAAATAAACAGCGTTCTGTGCACCTTGGTGTTTAGTCATGCCAGCCACATGACCATGGAAATGTCTTCGGACAGCGCTGGCTCTTCGGCTTTGAAACGGAGATGAGCACCGCAACCCTAGAGTCGGACTCGACTGGCTTTCGAGCAAGGGAACCTTTACCTTTTTATATAAACACAGGAAAGCACATAAATGACGCAGTGTGCAGATTTTCATATTGTTTGAAAATAGGAGATGTGTGAATATAGAGAAGATCCTAGAAACTGAGGGAGGCATGTGTCTTATATTCGTAGTTGACCTTTCCGGCTTCAGAGGGACACAGAGGTAGCCATCTTTTTTATGTTCCCCCATCACATTTTTAAAAGTATGAACCAAGCTCCAAAGCAAGCCTCACATAGACTCAGTTCTAATACCACCTTACTTTTACTCCTGTATTTCTTTCCAAAAATGAAAGGAGACAAATTAAAATACAAGGGAAAACAAAACCCATCTCTTCACCAAGTTTCCCCTTACTTCCTCTCATGTCTTATTAATGATCACCATTGTCCATGCTGCACATTTATACAAAATAATCCAATCCAGGGGCGAAAGGTGAACAGGTATTGTTGCAAATCTTGGCAAGTAGGTCTATTAGCAGACAATGCTAATATGAGGTAGCAGATCTTATCTAATTTCCTCCCAACCAGTAAGAAATGCTGTCCAACAATTTATAAATGTCTCTGTGAAATTGATTCTACCAACCAATGCTAAAACTGCTGAAGAACAAAGTCCTGACTTCCAATTTTCTGCTTTTTAAGAGTTTGAATTTAGAGTTTCTCTTTTTCTGCGGAAATTCTGTTGAGTCCAAGCCCCATATGGGCCTGTGGCATCTACTGCAGCATCAATCAGGTAGTCTGGTGTCAGCCATCTCAGGAACATCAGGAAAAGGAAGCTTAGTACAGAAAGAAGAGCAAAAATGCAACCAGTCACAGGGCCACAATGTGAGATGAGTCTGTCAAGCCGTTTTCCCATTGGTAATACTATTTCACCTGCCACTCGGTCATACACCTAAGGAAAACAAAATACATATATACATTAGATGTGTCCTCAGCATTTAGACTATGAGTGCAGCAGTGAGTGCGGTGCCGGCAGAGAGACCCCACGCCACACGCCCCTCCCGGAGGTCTTCCAGCGGCCTCGCAAGCCAGTTGGGGGGAGGTTGAGGGAAGACGGGCCGGCGGTGGTGAGCGCGGCGCCGGTGGAGAGGGCCCACACCACCCTCCCCTCCTGGAGGCCTCCGAGCAGCCTTAAAAGTTGGGGGTGGCCGAAGACGGGCTGGCGGGGTGGGTGAAGACAGGCTGGCGGCGGCAAGTGCGCTACCGCTAGCGAGGCTCCACACCACCCTCCTCTCCTGGAGGCCTCTGAGCGGCCCTAGAAGCCGTGGGGGTTGGGCGAAGAGGGGCGCAGCCAGCACACCATCGGCGGAGAGGCTCCACAACACCAGTCCCTACCGGAGGGCTCCGAGCGGGCCTAGAAGGCAGTTGGGGGGGCCCAAGATGGGCCGGCGGCGGAGAGGCTCCATGGCGTCTGCCCCTCCTGGAGGCCTCCCAGCCAGGTGGGGGGTTGGGCAAAGGCGCCCATGGCACCCTCCCCTCCCGGAGGCCTCCCAGCAGTCTCGGGGCCGGAGGGAGTGACCAGGCTGCGTGTAGGCCAGGCGGGCCCGTCCTCCTGGCTCCCCGCCAGAGTGGCCGCTGGAGCGTCCATTCTGGCCGATGGCACCGCGCAGAGTGAGGGCGAGACGCTGGGCAGCAGGTCTGTGGGCGGGACTTATGGTGGAAGGGAATGCAGCCAATCAAGGGACACCTTGTGATGGGCAGTTCCTGCACCCAACTCATTTTGCTGCGCATACAACGTTGTCAGACCACTACACATTTATATAATAGGACAGGATAAAGGACACAGAAAAACACAAAGATATTATAGCAGCTATTCCATTGGAGCCCCACATTAGTGGCTAATATTTCACTGCAAAACTGAAGTTCCTTGAGTTTGTTGAACTCTATCTTTTAATTGTGGTTAGTTCCCCCCCCCCCCGCCAGAGTGGCAGTGGCTCTCCAGGGTCTCAGGGTTTGTTTGTTTTTTGCAGGGTGGTTTGAGATAATAATTTTGGGTGTCCTCTTCAGCACTTGTTCTGCTATTATTCCATTGAAGCTTCACATTAGGAGGGTGTGTGTGTGTGTGTGTGTGTGTTAAAACTAGTATTTTTCTGCAAAATATTTTAACCCTGGGTGGTTCCCAACCCCCCCCCCCCCACATACACCCTTAAAACGTGCCTGCCTAAACTGGAAAGGCAGGAGGATTATGGGATTTTGCAAAGCCAGTTTTAAAACAGCATAATAAGTGTTGGGATCACTATGTCATGGACAAAGTGGCAGATACTTATGATGCACACACAAAAGGAAACATGGGGTCCCACTCTAGATTCCTTCACAAGTGGCTCCCGCTGTTAGCATATTTTGCAGAAAACAACATACTACCAACACATCCCAGCTATACAGAATGGTTACATATCTGAGGATATATTCTTCGGTCTGAGTAATCTTTTCTTCTCTCTTCTTCTTTTCAATGTGGTGATGCCGTAAATTAATGATATAAGGTGATGATTCTGATAAGGATTTCCGATTGTTCTAGTTGTACTCACGATCATTGTTTTAGTTGCATACACTATTGTAATTGTATCTGAACTCATGGCACTATATTGTTTAATAGGTTTAATTGTCTGTATGGATTGGTATATATGTAAGCTAAAATTTTGTTTCTCAATAAACATTATAAAAAAATAAAAAATAAAATAAAAAAGAAGCCCCTACCTGTGACGAGGACTACGGAGGCTTGGAGCGGTGGCTGGGAAGTTTGGCAGCCCTGCCCTCTGCTTCCTGCTCTCAGAGGCAGCCTCACCCTCGGTCTTCTATACTCCCACACAGCTCAAGCTGAGAACAGTGAGGTTGGGCAGGGGAGGGGGGAGAGAAGAGAGCCCCACTCCGGGGCCGGATTAAAGGCCTGGGTGGGCCAGTTCCGGCCCGCGAGCCACAGGTTTGACACCCCTGCTTTAGGGCTTAATAGAGGCCTCAGCATAATTCAACAAGGATAATACCTTGTCCCTTCAGAATGCGTCATTCAGGGAACTATGTGCATATGCCCCATCTTACAGACCATAGTGCTGTGTCATATGACCGGTTTAGGAGTATCCAAACAAAAATAATCAGTTAAAGAATATCCACTTTAAGAAAATATTTAAGGAAACAATAGATATCAAAAAGGTTTCAAGTGAAGAAATTTTAATCATCTCAAAATGACCCACTGATATAATTAATGAGGGAAACGTATTTAAATTACATAACACAACAAATCATCACATAAAAAAGACAACACATTTACAGTCCTGTCCCCAGACATCTCATCCCACTTAATACACTAACCTGATCTGTGGAATTCACTAAAAATAAAGATCTAGAAGTAATAGGGCTATATAAACTACAGGGTATGTAAATTTACCTACTTTTTCAGTTCTCTCTGCAACATTTCTCCAAGTATAAAAAGTTTTAACTTGGTTGTGTATGACTTCTGGAGATAGCAGTGATCCTGACTTCAGCTGGGTTATAGCCTTTTCCAATCCATTACTCAGAGACTTCACTGAAGGGTCACACAAGATGATAAGATTGTCTGGTAGCACCTCAGGAATCCCACCAACTCTTGTACTCACAACCTACACCAACAGAAAAACCCGTTCTTACACAGATTCAGTCATTAATGTATCAAAAACTTAACCACACTGTATTATTGATATAGTTATTAATTTCATTTTACAGTAAAGGACCCGATCCCATAGTTATGAGACAGGAAAGGCTATCTTAATAGCAAGATTCATTTCCCATTTAAAAGTGAATATAAGTAGCAGTGATGCTTGCATGTCTAGTGGTAATGTGGGCAACCCAATTGAAGACTCTTTTCTACTCTCATTTAGAAACTTGCCTGCCACGGAGCAACAGGGAGTTATCGATAGGCTGGAACAAACCATGAAATGTCTTCAAGTATTTAAAACAACTAAGGCCCCAGCTTCTCCCAAATCACTTCAGGGAAAACAAACTCTTTTAGAATTGGATTTGTTAGTGGATGGCACTTCCTTTGTGCCCTCTTCTGGAAAAGTGGCCTCCTTAGAATTTGTAGCATCTTTGCAAAATGCTTTTAAGTTCTCAGATGACGTGCTCAAGTTCCTATTTTTCTATTGCATTGTTAGAAAATGATCCAACTACTACTTAAGAAAAAGTTAACCTTTTTTTTTACCTGTAGACCACAACTGGCCGCTTCCACAATTGCCATGCAGAAAGCTTCTGTGAGGGAGGTGTTGAGAAAAATGTGACCCCGGACTAAGACATTTCTGACATCCTGATGTTCTAAAGCTCCCAAGAGACGAACTCTGCATGCAATTTGAAAACATCTTTTTAAAAACATAATCTTTACAAAAAGCTTCTTAACGTGATGCCAGCGAAAGTCAAGCATTTGTACATTCCAACAATTTCAGTGGAACAGATTCATGCATGCGTTTAACTATCTAATTTTTAAAAGATACACTTTAAAAGTGTTTAATTCTAGCTAGACCGCATTTTAGCAGAAGCTACTGAGCATCAGAACGAGACGTCCAGATATTCTTCCCTCTGCGGTTTTCAAGAAAAAGCTAGATAAGTGTGTCTTATCAGAAAGGCTTCATTTATAATCAGCCAGACTCAGCAAAGAAGGTTGCACTAGATGTCCAACTAGCTCTTACTCCAAGCATAACAATCTAAGAGATAGTTTATAAATGTATGTTAATCATTTATAACTCTAACATTCAATCAGATGCATCTATGAGTGCGACTTCTTGGCTCTATTACCACCTATAGAAATGTCACCTCAGCCACAATGCTTTCTAATGGGCACTAGTGCCATAAAAGGGCTCCACACTACCGAAGTGCAAAATCTGAAAAAGAAAATTCTGATGGAACAAGACTGTCTTTCTGCATGGCACTGCTTATCAGACTGTTCGACCCAGCCCTACTAAACAGCAGGAAAAGAAAAAAAACAAATAATTTTTGTTACCACACGAAGAGCTGGTTTGACTAAGATTGCAGGAAGGCTAAAAATCAAGTTAAACAGAAATATAAACTTTTTAGACATAACAATCACAAAACATTCATTGCTACGAGCTAGAAGGGAGTATAAAACTATGTTGAGGAAGAAAAAGCACCAGTCCATGAAATCTTTATGGAACAAGATAATTGCAGTTGCTAAAGGGAAACCCAATGTCCCTCTCCGGCACTTAATCACCCCAATATTGAAACCAAGAAGCAAAAACACAACTCCCATATCAATCACCTGGGGAAAGCATTTTAAGAGCCTTTATAAGAAGCACAATCTCGAACTGGATCTGGACTTTTAAAATCAATCTCAATCAGGCCCCCAAATGGGAACCTGTTACCAGTAACGAGATAACTGAATTGATCAAAACTATGAAATCAGGGAAGTCGCCTGGCCTCCATGCCCTCTTAGGGTTCCCAAATCGGGCCGGGGGGCGGGGAATCCCCCGCTTCCGGAGAGTCACCGGAAGTGACGTCACACGCTGGGCGGGGCCACGCCATTTGAGGGGAAAACAAAGAGTTTTCCCCTCAAATGGTGTGGCCCCACCCCCAGCGTGCGACGTCACTTCCGGGTGACGCGCACGCGCACATCTAGGACACCAGCCGGGAGCCCCCCGCTCCCAGCCAAAAGTAAGTTGGCAACCCTACTCCCCATTGAATTTCTGAAGATAGCCCCTGACTGGTGGGCTCAAGTGCTCGCACCTTTATTTACACTGACAAACCAGGATGGAATAATGCCAGATTCTTGGGAAACATCACTGATTACACCTATATATTTAAAAAGGTGATAAAACAGACCCAAGCAATAATTGACCAATCAGTCTTCTGGCAGTAACAGGTAAGCTATACGTATCTCTCTTGTGGAAAAAGCTGTTGCACCGAATAAAGAGAAAGTAATGGGAGAAGAGCAAGCAGGCTTCAGAAAGGGTCACTCTTGGAGGTGCGCGGCGATGCCGACCTGTTTGGCTGCTTAAACCGTCGCTCCGTCCCCCCCCACCCCTTTTCTATGACTATAAATTTTCTCGGCAATAAATCTTCAACCCGATGGGGAAAAACGACTCTGCGGAACTACAGGGAAACCCGGTGAGGGTTACCCAGAGAAATCCAAGCAGTAAAACGGATAAAATAAAAGCCAAAATCGCGCCAGCACAGATGGCAGAAATGGCGGACGTTCTCATACAGAGGGAACCGTCAAAACCGACATTCAACATACAAGACATCCCACTACTTTTACATCATTTGGAAAGTAGACTGAGTGATAAAATTCGTTTGTCTATGATACCCATCCAAGAGCAGCTCCAAGACATTCAAACCTCCCTGAAATTAACAGCACAGACAGCCGACTCAGCTTTAAAACTTAGCTCATCAGCAAAGAGTGAAATTAAAGATCTAAAACGCTCTGAGGAACAAAGCAAAGATCGCTTTATCAAAATTGAAACGGAGCTGAAAAAACTTAACCTGAAAGTGAGAGGAATCCCTGAGGGGGCTGGAAGAGGCAAAAACTCGCACAGTTTTTTTACAAGAATGGCTTAGAACAGCAACAGCTGCAACTCCACCACACTCCCTCAATATAACCCGAGCTTTCAGGCTGGGAGCCATTAACAACCCACACAGACGAGTCCCTAGGGACTTCCTGATCCAACTGCCGGACTGGGAGACCAGAGCCAGGATTTTGGAAGAGACTAGAAAAAGAGGTGGTCTAAGCTTCAACGAGGTCCACATTGCCGTCTTCCCAGATCTCCCGCAGGAGGCTCTAGCTATCCGACATCAGCTGAAATCAACTACAGGAAAACTCCAAGCGCTTAATATAAAGTACAAGTGGCTACCATCTGGGAAACTCCAAGTTACTCACTTAGGTAAACCATTGCTTGCACACGGTGAGGATTCAGGTCGTAGACTGCTGCATTCCCTGAAGATCCCCGATGACCAAGACCCTAGAATATACTCCAAACGCAAGCTAGAGGACTCAGTGACTCCTGAAAAAGTCTCCAAACTTCCAGTTCGTCAACATGCTGGTTCAGACATGGAGGATATTGCCGACGCTCCCCCCCTACAGGATGTTGAATGCAATAACCTCCGGTTAACCCTCTAGACACCGATGAATGTCTCTCTCCTCCTTTCTCCCTCCATAAACATGTTAATTCACAAGACTGCCGATCTCCTTTTACAATCTAAAGTGGGGGGGGAGGGGGGAATCAGGTTGCGCCCAGGAAAACTTCTTTGACAAGTGGCTCGGTCTTGGAGGCTGAGATCTCTGAGCGCTCCAGGTAAGCTGCTTCGGCTATCCAGACTTTCAACAACCAGTGTTCACCAACCTTTTCAAAGAAGATAGAGAAGGCGGAATCTCCCAGCACAAGCAGTGCAAACTTTAGAAAAACTTGGTGTTCTAGCTTTTTGTCACTGTTATTATTGTTAGTGTTAAGTTTGAAGGGAGAAGGGCGGGGGTGGGGGAAAGGGGTTTTAGGAGTAACTTGTTGTTATAACTGTGTTTAGGTACAGCGGTTGAACCTTTTGGTGTTATAAACTGTTTTTCAGTGCAGTCCTTACTTCCACCCATTTAATACCAGCAGCAAACAACACTTCACAGCTGTCCTGCATACTTAGGATTAGTTCCATTGCTTTCTACTACGCAGGCAGCAGAGTTCGTCTACAGGTACAACCCACTAGTATTGAAAGCCAACCTGAACGTAATAATAATAATAATAATAATAATAATAATAAAATTAAATTAAAAAAATTCAACACAAACACGACACACAAGCAGGTGCAGTTAGCATCACAAAACTCACTCACCTTGAGAACCAAACATGAGATTAAATTCGGTGAATATTAGAGGATTGAATAACCCTATCAAAAGACGGAGACTTACACAATACCTTAAGAAGAAAAAAATGGATGTGGTCTTCCTACAGGAAACCCACCTTAGGTCTCGAGAAGACGAAATACTTCATCAGAACCTTTTTAATATTCAGTTGCATGCCGAAGGCTCATCCAAATCAAGAGGAGTGGCGATATTATTAAGCAAAACCATTAACTTCACCTTAAAGGCAGCCATTAGAGATCCATTAGGCAGGTACATCTTTGCGAAGGGCACAATAGGGGGAACCGTGATTACCTTGGCATCAATTTACGCCCCGAACAACACACAACTGACCTTTATTGATGCCACACTAGCGAGCTTGACACAATTCCAGGAGGAAGAGCTCATAATAGGAGCTGACTTAAACTTCATAATCAACTCAGATCTAGACAGGACTTGGAACCCACACGCTAAGAAACCAAGAGGACCTCCCGGCAACTCGAAACTGCTCCCACTTTTAGCCAAATACCATATTGTGGACGCATGGAGACTGAAACATCCAGGAGAAAAGGATTACACATATTTCTCTCCTCGCCACAACATAGCCACGAGGATAGACTACATCCTAACTTCTCAATCTCTCAGCCCAAATATAGGTTCAGTGGAGATTCAGACAAAATATCTCACGGACCACGCCTGGTTGGAAGGAGAACTTCAGCTAACTAACCAGGACGTAAGAGAAAAGTCCTGGACAATGGACAGATCAATTTTATTGAACACACAAGCCAGGGAAAAAATTAAACAAGACATCAAACACTTCTTTGAAGAGAACTCAACACCAGATGTCCCGAAGGCCCTTCTGTGGGACACGATGAAGGCAGTGGCCAGAGGCTCGATCATAGCCAGCACAGCTACAAGAAACAAAGAGAAAGAAAAACTCAAAAAACAGGTCCTGGAAAGAATAGCCGAACTAGAAAAGGAACACAAAAAATCTGGAAACCCAAGGGTTTACCAAAAACTCACGGCTGAGCGCAAAATTCTAGATGATTTAGAATCAACCCAAATCCAGAGAAATCTGATCTACCTAAAACAAAAATTCTGGCAAAACAGTCCCAAGCATGTACACTTGCTTGCGTGGAGAGTGAAACAAAAACGCAAAGCCTCCACTATCAACGCTATCAAAAACAACGCGGGTGTGGAACTTCACACAGCTAAGGACATTGCCTCAGCTTTCGCAGCATACTACTCTTCCCTGTACAGCTCATCAAACCCTAATCAGCAGGACATTGAAGCCTATCTCCGTACCATCCCAACCTTGCCTCACCTCTCCCAGGACCATATGGAACTACTGGAACGGCCAATTAATCTACCTGAATTAACAGACACAATCAAAAACCTTAAAAACAATAAAACAACAGGCCCAGATGGGCTCCCCTCAGAATTTTACAAAACATTCACAGAAGACCTTTCTGAGCATCTTGTAATGGACCTGTAATGACTTGCTATTAAATGGAGCGTTACCAGATTCCTGGACTGATTCCAACATTACAGTCATCCACAAAGAAGGCAAAGATCCATCAAACACTGCCTCTTATAGACCTATTGCCTTACTGAACCACGACAACAAGATTTTTACAACATTAATTGCAAATAGACTGAAACTCATGATTACTGACTATATCCATCTGGACCAAACCGGCTTCATACCTGGCCGACAAATAGCGGATAATCTACGTAGAACATTGGACATCATCATACATGAAAAGCAGACAAAAAGAAACTCTGTCATCCTCGCACTAGACTTTGAAAAAGCCTTTGATTCGGTGGAGACGAGGTTTATTCTCTCCTTATGCAAACATCTAGGATTCGGACAGGCATTTCGAGGAATGTTGCTTTCCATCTACTCCAACAATAGGGCCAAAATAAGAGTTAACGGAGTCAGCTCCTCATCAGTACAGCTCAGAAGGGGAACCAGACAAGGGTGCCCTCTTTCCCCGCTTATCTTTGCCTTGGCCATTGAACTGCTGGCAGAAAAACTCAGGCAAAAGGAAACTTTTAAGGGAATTAACATCAATGGGACAGACCACAAAACCTGCCTCTATGCCGACGATCTCACCCTATACATCTCAGATCCCAAAAACTCGTTACAAACAATCAAAAGAAGAACTCGCATTATTTGGTGACAACTCAGGGCTCAAGATTAACTTTACCAAAACTGAGGTTTACCCAATAAAGATTGACCACACATTGAAGAGTGAACTCCAACGACAATACCCTTTCAAATGGATAACAGATTCTTGGAGATATCTGGGAGTCCACATTCCTATCAACTTAAAAGACCTGGTTAAGGCTAACTTCCACAAACTCGCCTCTAACATCAAGACAGATATAGAAAACTGGAAAGCTCTAAAACTATCACTCCCAGACAGGCTCCACCTGATTAAGAGTTTCATAACGCCCAGGTTTACGTTTTTGTTCCAAACCCTGTCCATCCCCATCACCAAAAAGGAGCTGGACTCGTGGCAAATGCTGTTAACAAAGTTCTTCTGGGACCAGAAAAAACCCAGGGTAAACCACAACATCATCCATAGAACAAATAAACAAGGAGGACTCAACCTCCCCTCGCTTCGGGCATATCACCAGGCCGCGACTCTTGTGTGGGCGGTGCGAATGCAACTCAGAGGCCAAGATAAGCACTGGATGACAATTGAACAATCCTACACAGCACCTTATGACCTGCAAGAGATCTTTTGGATCAAGCCAAATCTAAGACCCAGATCTATCAACAGTAACATTCTTTTGAAAGCAACCATCAAAACATGGGACAACAATAAAAAACTACTCCCAGCCACTGGGATATCACAACTTTCCACTTATACTAATCAGGACTGGTTCGAACCTGGCAAAATCATAAATGCCTACACAGACTGGAAAATGGCCAACTTGAGCCGCCCCTATGATTTAGTCAACAAGGGTGTAATGCTAGATAAAATATACTTTGATCACAAAACAAACCAGCGACTTCATTGGCACGACTATCTCCACCTTAGAGATCTCATAGGGCGCTTAACAGATGCAGGAACGTTCCGGAGAGAACTTACAAAGCTTGAAAAAATCATTATATCTTATCCTAACTCCCCAAAAGGTCTACTATCTAAACTTTACAAATTAGTAGTCATCGAGGACTCCTCTACAAAACAGAGACATCAATTAAAGTGGGAGGAAGAGCTAGACGTGCACTGGCAAGAGGCTGACTGGGAAATCATCTGGGACTCTCCTGTGAATAGCTCAACAACTTACAACATAAAATTCCAGTTCTTCAAAACTGTCTCGAGATGGTACTTAACCCCCCAGCAAATACACAAGTTTAGCAGAACCAGTAGCCCCATATGCTGGAAAGGTTGCGGACAACTAGGGACTTACCTGCACTGCTGGTGGACCTGCCCCAAGATCCAACAGTTTTGGACAGAGGTAAAACTACAGATAGAGAACATCATAGCTCAAAATATCCCTTACATACCATAATCCTTCCTTCTGAACCACTGGGATGACTCCATCCAGGACCATAAAAGGGATCTTATCTCAACTCTTCTGGCAATAGCTCGCTTAACCATTGCAGCTAGCTGGAAATCCCCAACGGCACCTTCCATAACAACCTGGCAGGACAAGCTCTGGGAACATTTTGTTATGGCAAAAATTTCTGAGTCACTCAAGATCTTACACTCAGACACACCACATTCCTCCAAATTTATGTCGACATGGTACCCTGTAGTCTCCTATTTACAAACTCTCAACATCCTCCCCCCTAACCCACTCTTTCTCAAATGGCTAACCCTGTAGGTTGGTATCTTCTTTTACCAAAGGTTTTTGTACTTGTAGGCACTGATTTATGCTGTATCTTCACTTTATGTTCTGTATGTCATATGAAATTCAATAAAGATGATTTTAAAAAAAGAAAAGAAAGGGTCACTCTTGTGTGGACCATTGTTTCACGCTGGCCTCATTAGTAAGCAAACAAATATTCCTTCTTTGGGCAGTACTGAGCGGCGGTGAATGCGAGTAATACTAAATAAGCAGAAATAGTATAAATAATAAAGCAACATATGCTGAGCATCCTCAAACCCACTTCTGAAGCTTGAAACAAAATTCAGAAAAATAGCTGTTTTATTGCTAACGCTGCTGAAATTTGGAAGGAACTGAGTGAGCACTTAACTACACGCTGACAGAATTAAATTCCAAGCATTAAAAAACCGATTGGGACAAGCACTGTCTCCAGCTCATTTTCTCGCAAATATTGTAAATATCTGGCACCAGGGTCAAACCTTAAGTGCTGAGAAAGAGGAGTTAGCTATGACATGGGTGTCCAGCAATCATCCATCTGTAATGCCAACTATAATAAACTTCAGAGCTAAGGAAATATAGGTTTGCTGATGATATTTTAAAGCAAGTCACACCAGTGAACTGGTGGAAGTCACTTAAGCACTTAGATTTAGGGACTGTTGAAGTAATGATTTCACTTTTTAACAGCAGTAGCTTCTTCTTGCTAGCGTAGAAAGCATAATCTCTTCCTTTGGACTCATTCATCCTAAAATGAGAAATCATTTGGGACCTGATAAAGCAGGAAAGCTCGTTTTTCTTCTCGAGATTATGAACAAACAAGAAGATGAAAATGAGGAGTGAGCTACAGAGGACAGTATTTTAAGTTTTTAATGGGTGGACCAGGCTGATAGTCTTAAGGGTTTTTTTTTTTTAAAAAAAAGATATTTTGTTTAACCAGATCAGTTAACAAAAATGGATGTTTAAGCAAATACAAGAATACATATGCTATAACATTATTGATTAAGTTAAACAAAACTATTTAAATTGTTATTATTAAGGTAATGATTATTTGTCTCCTTCCAATAAAGTACAGTATAAAAGTTGTCCAAATATGAATGATTAACCTATTAAACTGGAGACAGTTCACCTCACAATAATTTCATAATTATCTATCTATGATGTGTTTCTAATAGTATAACCAAATCAATAATTTTGATATAACTGTAAAACTAATCTGAAAAGTTGTTATTCTAAAAATGAAACCTTCATCTGGTTGTAAAATATTAAGATTATGCCAGCAAGAATTAGTCTATGTAGAAAACCATGATTTACTGACTAGTGATTTAAATCTTACTGACTAGTGATTTAAATCAAATTCCACCCTGTTCAAAATTCCTAAAATTGAGAATATTGTTTTTAGCAATTAGCAGCATCATGAAAATTATATGCAAAGGATATATCACAGTTCTTCACAGCACCAGCTTTCGATTGTTGCTCCCTTGCCACTTCGATGAACCCAGCAATATTAAAATGCACACAAGGGACGTACCTGTCATGCAGCTGGTATCTTTCTCGTACTTCTTCCAATACAATTCTCTTTGGTCCTTCTCCCCCGACTATGAAGTGTAGGTTTGGATACTTCTGACAAAGTTCAGGAATTATACCACTAAGCAAATCTATACCTGAGAGATAATTTTAGAACCAGTTTGTTGATTTAGTAAAACTGACAGTCATCTTCCCAATAGTGTAAGAGAAAAAAAAGGAAATTGTGACTTTTAATAAATGTTATTTCTTTACATTTTAAAATTCTTTCAAAGCCATCTATTCTATTGGTCATCTCTGCATCCACTGGCAGTAAATTCCATGACTTAATTACTTGTTGAGTGAAGATCTTTCTCTTGTCAGTTCTGAATCTATTGCCCTTCAACTCTATTAGGTGTCCTGATTTTTACTATTATGGGAGAGGAAGGGGAAATAATCTTTCCACCACAGGCATAATTTTATAAACTGTTAACACTTTCTATTTAGATGGCTTTTCTCTAAACTGGGTTTTCCCCTTGTAAGCCGCCCTGAGCCCGTTCTGCGGGGAGGGCGGGGTATAAATCTTAATAAATAAATAAATAAATAAATAAATAAATAATTTTCAGAACCACAAACAAAGAATTATCATTTGAAAGTACTGGATTCCTGATATCATTCATGTTTGCTGAAGTCCAGAATTTTACCTCTGTTCTAAGAATACAGTCCCGAAAGGACATATTACTGACACAGGAGCTCAGCATTGCTCCATTACCGTTATCTATTACATCAGAAGTACAACAGTGCAATTCTAAAAAGACTTAACACCCTTCTAAAACAACTGAAGTCAATGGGTTTATGAGAAGACTGAAACGGTACTGTCTGTCCTTGTGGGTCAAGAAGCACAGAGCCATCCTAATGTTCTGAATTGCCCACTGGAAGCAGCAGGTATAGAGAGAGATGAAAAGAGATCAGTATTGGAAGAATTCTGATTAGTAACAGTTCTACTCAAGTCAAACGGTTTGAATAGTTGCTGCCAATTTACCTATGCTTTTTAATCCAAAAGGTAAAGATTATAAACAGGGGTTGTTTCGTAGAAAAAGAGCTAGGGGAACTCATTAGCATGACTCATTAGCATATGCCACACCCCCTGACATCACCGGAAGGGTGTCATAAGACCACACCCCCTGACATCACCGGAAGTGTGTCATAAGGCCACACACCCCGCCCCCAACGGTCCCGGCCGCCGGCCTTGCAGCCCCACTGCCGAGCCCCATGAGGGGCCCGGCGGTGGACCTGCAAGCCCGGCGGGAGTGCAAGGAAGCCCCGTGAAGGCCCTCCCTGGCCCCAGGCAGGCAGGGGTGGGGAGAGGCAGGGAGGAAGCAACTTACCCTCCCTCTTCTCCTGCCTCCTCCTGGCTGAATGAGGGCCGGAAGCGGGGCAGCCGGAAGCAGGGGGCGGGGCTTCGTCATGTGCCCCGCCTCCCGTACCTCACCCGGGGGAACTCCCCCCGAAATGACCTCTGATTATAAACAATGTCCTATCACTACCAACGGTCAGGAGAATAAAAGGAAGGGCTGCGAAGAGAAGTCTGATCTAGCTGGAAAAGGTACTGGACTTGGATTCACAACTCTTACACAAACCACTGCAGGTACAGTTTCTAAATGGAGTTAGCCCTTCACTCAAGAGTCTCAGAATGGCTTACAATCACCTTCCCTTCCTCTCCCCACAACAGACACCCTGTGAGGTAGGTGGGGCCGAGAGAGCGCTGAGACAACTGCTCTAAGAGAACTGTGACTAACCCAAGGTCACCCAGCTGGCTGCATGTGGAGGAGTGAGGAATCAAACCCAGTTCACCAGATTGGGTTTTTTTTATCTTCAATGGCTTGTTTGATTTCATTTAGGTAAATTACTGTAAGCTACTTTTGGCAGGGGTCTGGAAAGGGGGCATAGAAAAATGTCCTAAATAAACAAACAACCCACACGATCCTGCCATGGTGCTTTGCAAGCCCCCAGAGCACCTGTATCGGAATCAGGCCCTAAACTTGTAAGTAAAGAGGGACACCTACTAGGATTTAGTCACTGTTCTGTCGTGCAGTAAAAGTTAAGGCAACTAAATCTCCCCCTCCACCACCACCCAAAAATCTGATCAACCCCATAAACTGTGCAAAACAGACATTTGAGAAGAACACAGAATATGGAAGCCATTACCTTTTCTATATACAAGTCTGCTAACAACGACAATAGTTATTGTGCTGCTGTCCTGCTGAGATGGGTCTGGAGTGAAGTCTGTGGGATCGACAGCATTGGGGATAACAGAAACTATCTCAGGGTTCAGTGTTGCTCTCAACACAGTGTTCTCTTTGCTAGTATAAGAAACACAGATGATGTGGTTTGTGTCACACAGCGACACGGTCAAGAGTTTATTCGTAAGCACCGAACTGACATCGGCAAATCCAAAAAGGGAATGGTCTGTAAAAACTGTTCGTAGTTGCATTGTCTTGGCATGAAAGAGAGCATCGTGAGCCATAGCTGAAAACGAACTATGCGCGTGGACAATGGTGACTCGCTCTCGTACAAATATATATCTGAGCAGAGGCATACTATGGAAGAGAGTTGTTGCTGTAGATTGGTTGTACATGACTCTTAATGGCAAATAATAGACCTTTAGTCCATTGGTTAGGTAACGAACGCCTTTGCGGTCTTCATAAGCATGAGTGATAATGATAACTTTGTGTCCTCTCTCTATCAGGCACTGTGAAAGTTGATAAATGTGGCTTTCCACTCCTCCCATATTTGGATAAAAAAAGTCAGACACCATGCATATACTGTGAGCTTGACCTGTACATACTGGAGGCTTATGACAGTTCAAAGTGTAAGATGAAGGGGTAGAGAGACACGGCTGGCGATCCCCTCTTCTACAAGCCATATCGAGTTAGCTATCAGCACACCTGGTACCCATTCAAAATGAAGAATCGACCTCATTCAGAACCTAGAAGAAAGAAAATGCATGTCACTCAGCCAGACTAAACAAAAACCGTCAGAGATATTAGCATTTTAGTTCCTCTAAACAAGTCTTGGTGGATTTTACGCTGCATTTCTGCAATATATTATGGCCGCTGGACCCCTTCATGCAGCACTCAAGTCTCGAACTGCCAAACTACCGACATTCAGGTCTGCAGTTCAGCATCTTAACCACTTGAGCCACCACAGCCCTTTAGATCAATACGCAGATCTAATTAAAGACAACAAGTCTATCATTTTTGACAAATTAAGCTAAGGTACTGTGAATGATGTACCAATCTCCAGTTATTTACTGGTAAAGTTCTTTTTTTCAACATCCTTGTTTTGAGTGTGAAAACTCTCAGGAAATGTGAAAAAAATGGCAGTAAATAGTACACAGAGTCCTGGCTAAAAGATATTCATTGCTACTACAACTAGGCACAGGGTAGTGAAATGTCATGAAGAAAAGTGGAATAAAACTCCCAAGTTACCAATTAGCTGCTAATGTTTGGAACTACATACATGTGAGACAACTGTTATTCATCTTTAAATAAAAGCAAACTGCTTTAAAAATGCAAAACAATAGCCTTTGACTGCATGGAAGATAGCTAAAATTGACCATAAAATAGCAGCTTAAAATTGGTATTGCTCATATGAAAGGACAAGCTACCACCATATATAGTAACTTAGGGGCAGAGCAGCCTTTTCAGAACATGACTAACAAAACCATATGGGAAGTGTTAGCAACTGATTTTCCTTTTAAAACTGTTTTCCTTCTGAACTATGTTAAGAACAGGAAATGCTTCCTACGAAGATGTAGTATTAAATAAGGGCAGCAGCAACTATTGCACTATTTTTAACTATCACTCTATACCAAATAAAAGGAAATGACTACTGAAAACCTGGGATAGTGCTAAGATAGTAGAGTTAACTGCACTCTAATGCCCTAAAAAGAAAAACCACTGGGAATCATGCTGGTCTATATTGGTAACACTGCATTGAGAGGCACTTTATTAATAAACATCTGTACATTGATGTAATTATAAACAATGCATTGTTTCTATTTCTGTAGTTTTCAAAAAGTACTGTAGCACTTACACTGAAGGCCAAACTGAAAAGACAGAGTGTAGGTAACTGGTACTTTTTAAATTTATTGCATGTCTCCAAGAGACTTTTAAACATGTTCTCAGAAGCCTCAAAACAATCATATCCTAATACAGCAGCCAGTTTGAATCATAACCACAAATAAACCACCCCACTTCTACCCATAATGCCCAGCTTTCCCGGGAAGCATCTAATTGGCTTATCGCTAGAACTCAGTCCTGATTTTTATTTTATATGTCTCAATCTGAATGTATATTTTACTCACATTGTGTATGTTATTTGATTGGTCTCCGACTGTATTAAACTCATTGTTGCCCAGCTTTTCAAGTCTTGTACTAAAAATGGGGACAACTTTCCTGTATTCAGACAAGGATTCCCATTTAGGATAACCCAATGTACATATTGCTCTCCTTAATGAAGTGTGGATCCCTTTCAGAAAATGTCTGACATAATACAGTGTAATTTCTAAAACTTAAAGGCAATGAAACTCAAATGATTCTGGAAATGATGATTTATTACATAAAGCTCAGGTGTCTTGAGCACCCAGCTATAGATGCCGTGCGAAGAAAAAACATTTTAAAATAAAAAAATACTCCTCTTTATTGGTATGTGCTACTAAAACTATTTTTCCGGTAGGCACAAACATTTATTTTCTTTAACAGAATTTTTCCCATCTACGCTCAGATTTCTAATTTCTAAATAGGTAAAGGTTCCCTTGCTCGAATCCGACTCTAGGGTTGCAGTGCTCATCTCCCTTTCAAAGCCGAGGAGCCAGCGCTGTCCGAAGACGTTTCCGTGGTCATGTGGCCGGCATGACTAAACACCAAGGCGCACGGAACGCTGTTACCTTCCCACTGAAGTGGTACCTATTTATCTACTTGCAATTTCTTGCTTTCGAACTGCTAGGTTTGCAAGAGCTGGAACTAGAGACAGGAGCTCACTCCGTCATGCGGCACACTCGGGTCTCGAACTGCTGAACTACCGACCTTCCACAGCCTGCAGTTCAGCTCTTAACCCCTTGAGCCACCGCAGCTCCAATTTCTAAATACTAAACCATTAAAAACAACATTTTTGGGGGTGTTGGGTGTTCCATCACAAGCAGCTCCCCATACTACACTTACTTGACTAGTATACACTGAACTTGAAACTCGTGACGTTTACTTCAGACCTTTAGCACTACAACTATTTTTTCCCCTCCTAAAAGATGTTGATTCATGTCTCTTGTTTCTTAGCTCATCCATATGTATTTCACTGAGAGAAAGAGTTAACAGGGCCCCGATGAACCACAGCAGGTTTAAAACCAGAGGCTGCTACTAAGCAATCTTTTTTTTTAAAAAAAATAACTTCCTAAAACAAAAAGCAACAAACACTTTCCCATTTTTTGGCCCGTACAGATTGAGAGAGCTTCTGCCTCCCTGCCTTCCCTCCGTGCTAATTTAAAAACCAGCTCCCTCGCGCGCGAACCCCACCATGCCCGTCCAAGGGCTCTGAGAAGACACACCAGGCTTCAACCCTATATATAGACCTCCCCTCCCGATAAAGTATCGCGAGACGCAGCGACCCACCGCTACAAGATAAGCCAGCGTTCCATCGGCTTTTATTTGAAGAAAAAATAAACCCTTTTTTTCCTTACCAGCACTCTTCCACCTAAACCCCTCCAGATCTCTCATTGGATTCTCGCGAGAATGGGAGGCTGCTTTCCTCTGTAGAGATTAAAAAGAGCGCAGAGACCGCCTTCCCTCTCTTCCGGTTGGCTATCCATGCTTCTCTGTCGGAGAGGTAAAAAACTTAGGTGTGTGTAGGCAAATGGGTGCTCGTCCTGAAATAAGCGGAACCTGGCTTTGGGGTGTTTTAAAGACGAAGGAAATTGCAGTTGTTGCGGATCAAGCAGGTAGTAGTAGTTGTTGTTTTTTTAGGTTCGGCAAGGCTGTTGATGGTTTTTGCTGCAACAGGCTGAACTCGGCTGCCCTTCTGCTAGACCAGTGCTGGCGAACCTTTTAGAGACCGGGTGCCCAAACTGCGACCCAAAACCCACTTATTTATCGCAAAGTGGGTTTTTGCAATTTTTTTCCCCTCCTAAAAGATGTGCACACACGGCCATTGAACCTGAATACTGAGGTTTTACTTTAGAAAGAAAAAAACAACTCCTACATTAACTGAAGAGGATCCAAACAAAGTAAGGAAAGCAATCCCAAATGCTTTCGTTTACTTAAAATTATTTGGCAGAGAACTCGACACTTTAATGATGGTTGCGTGCCCACAGAGAGGGCTCTGAGTGCCACCTCCCGTGCCATAGGTTCGCCACCTCTGTGCTACACTGACTCCCCCATCCTGGGATAGAACGATCCTTATTGTAGGCAACAATCGCCTGCTAACCAGAGCCTGCCAATGGGGGGGGGGGGGGGGGCGGGAGACATTTAACAGAAGGGAGAGAACCGCTGGGGGCCGGAGTGAACTTGGGAGGAAGAAAGAGGAAGAGAGGGGGGGGGGAGAGAGAGAGGAGAGAAACAACCTCGGAAGAAAAGACGCCGGGAGAGGCCAGAGAGGGACTGAGACTGCAACCGGGACACAACAGCAACCCTGGCGGAAGGGAAGGGCCTCTGTCCAGCGTCAGAGGACAGCCGGTGAAGCAGCCGGGAGGGGGGGGCGTGTGTCTCACTCAGAACAGCCCAAGGGGAAGGGGGTGTCAGAGCCCCAGAAGAGCCTCCCTGAAGGCTTCCCGGGACTCAGGTTGGACTTGAGAGGGGAAAGGCCAGCCCAGCAGGCTTCACTCTGGGGAAGCAGAGAGGGGGCTGGGCACTTAAGGGCTCTTTTTGGAGCAGGAACTCCTTTGCCTATTAGGCGACACACCCCTAAGGTAGCCAATCCTCCAAGAGCTTACAGAGCTCTTCTTACAGGGGCTACTGTAAGCTCTTGGAGGATTGGCTACCTTAGGGGTGTGTCGCCTAATAGGCAAAGGAGTTCCTGCTGCAAAAAGGCTACATTAGTCACTAATGTAGCCAATCCTCCAAGAGCTTACAGTAGGCCCTGTAAGAAGAGCTCTGTAAGCTCTTGGAGGATTGGCTACGTTAGTGACTAATGTAGCCTTTTTGTAGCAGGAACTCCTTTGCCTATTAGGCCACACACCCCTAATGTAGCCAATCCTCCAAGAGCTTACAGAGCTCTTCTTACAGGGGCTACTGTAAGCTCTTGGAGGATTGGCTACATTAGTGACTAATGTAGCCTTTTTGCAGCAGGAACTCCTTTGCATATTAGGCGACACACCCCTAAGGTAGCCAATCCTCCAAGAGCTTACAGAGCTCTTCTTACAGGGGCTACTGTAAGCTCTTGGAGGATTGGCTACATTAGGGGGTGTGTCGCCTAATAGGCAAAGGAGTTCCTGCTACAGAAAGAGCCCACTGCTAATGTAGCCAATCCTCCAAGAGCTTACAGTAGCCCCTGAAAGAAGAGCTCTGTAAGCTCTTGGAGGATTGGCTGCATTAGGGGGTCTGTCTAATATGCAAAGGAGTTCCTGCTACAAAAAGAGACCAAGGAGTTGGGTGAGGGAGCAGTGCTGGGGATAAGAGGCACACGGCTGGTGGATGCTCCCTCTAACCTCTGAGCAACAATTCTACTTTGTGGGCGACTCTGTGGAGTCCTCTGAGCAACAATTCTATTTTGTGGGCGACTGGCATGAAAGTTGTGAGCGAGCGATTTGGCTGCTGCATAAATTAGTTTGCTCTGGAGCCCTCCTTCCCGAGCTAAGACAAAACTGTGTGAGCCGGAGGCTAAAAAACTGTGAGCTGGCTCACACCAACTCAGCTTAGAGGGAACACTGATTAGCAATGCTCCCTCTAAGCTGTGGAGTCTTGTGAGCAAAAATTCTACTTTGTGAGCTACTGGCATTAAAGCTGTGAGCGAGCGATTTGGCGACTGCATAGATTAGTCTGCTCTGGAGCCCTCCTTCCTGAGCTAAGGCAAAAATGTGTGAGCCAGAGGCTAAAAAACTGTGAGCTGGCTCACACCGACTCAGCATAGAGGGAACACTGATTGGCTCCTCTAGGGCTGCTGAAGCCATCAATCTCTTACACTTATTGTCCCACACTTCGAGTGCAGTAATGAATAACGCATGGCTGTATTTCTGGGGCTGCCCGCCTCCCACCCCCCAGCCCCCTGCTCTGCTAACCTGGAATGTGGATAATATCTTGTGCTGTACTGCAAGGGAGTTGTACCCATTTTTTCTCTCTCTCTGTCTCCCCCACCCACAGGCTGTTATATGGGAGCCACAAGAGTGGATGTCAGGCAGTCGTCAGGCAGTCGTCTCTCAGCTCTGCCTTTAGTGTGCGTCTGTAGAAGAAAGCTTAAGCAACGCGGATGCTGACTTGCTAAATGGGCCACGGATACGAAGAAATCCGAGCATAAGTGAGGGGAGGGGAGGGGAGGGGAGGGGAGGAAGGGGGGGTCAACCTCCACGAGGCTCTTCCCCCTCACATGGCGACCGTCAACATGAAACCGGAAGAAAGAGTGGACGAGCGGTGCCGAACTCTGCTCATTTGCACGCTCTCTTTAGCTTCTTTTGACGATGGAGCCTCCAGGGCGGGTCCCCATCGGTGTCACGAGGATCTTGACGGTAATTCAGTCTTCCCGTTTTTCTTTTCTGGCTCCTCCCACCGGCGGTGGAGTGGGGAAGGGGCTGACCTTGGAATTGCAGCCGGGGGGGGGGCAGGGAAGAAATGAAATGAGTCTTGCGTGGGATTGTGGAGAAAGGGAAAGACTCGTGCGTGGAATGCTTTAAAAAAGGACCCTCTGCCACGTTGTTCTGTCCTGGAGCAGTGACTTGCATGCAGTGGGCAACTGAGTCGTCTTCCCCTCCCCCCCCGACTTTTTGGAGATGAGCGCATTGGCAACTCTTGGCTTCAGGGGGGGTTAAATAAAAGGCTTTCTCAAAAGAAGAACGCTGTAGATAACAAGGCCTTTTCTGCTGGGGAAGTCTGCCTCTGTTCCGTTCCTGTCGGTAATAATGTCTTAAAGGTACAGCTTAGCAGGAAAAATGCTGGGTAACCTAGGGCCGCTCGCACCCACTCTCCCTCTCTTTCAGCCTCACCTACCTCACAGGGCTGTTGTAAAAATAAAACGAAGGAGAATGATGTAAGCGGCCTTGTGTCCCCATAGGAAAGTATGGTATTCTCTCTTCCATTTTATCCTCACAACCACCTTGTGATGTAGGCTAGGCTGGGAGACAGTAACTGGCCCAAGGTCACCCAGTAAGGTTTGTGGTGTAAAAAGGTAAAGGTTCCCTTGCTCGAAAGCCAGTCGAATCCGACTCTAGGGTTGCGGTGCTCATCTCCGTTTCAAAGCCGAAGAGCCAGCGCTGTCCGAAGACGTTTCCGTGGTCATGTGGCCGGCATGACTAAACACCAAGGCGCATGGAACGCTGTTACCTTCCCACCGAAGCGGTACCTATTTATCTACTTGCAACTTCTTGCTTTCGAACTGCTAGGTTGGCAGGAGCTGGAACTAGAGACGGGAGCTCACTCCATCAAGTGGCACACTCGAGTCTCGAACTGCCGAACTACCGACCTTCCACAGCCTGCAGATCAGCGTCTTAACCACTTGAGCCACCACAGCTCCTTTTGTGGTGTAGTGGGTATTTAAACCTAGATGTAAAACCTTTTATTTAGAACAACCAAAAATAACACAGTGTGCACACTTCCAGGTTTTCTAGCACTCTTCATCAGAGTGGATGTAAAAGGGGGGGGAAAGAGATGTCTTAGGCTGTGATCTTAAAAGGCCTAATCTTGTAGGCATCCTGTGTAAAATACTAAGCAGAGTATACAGTATCTGAGTATACAGATTTAAAATGGTGCTGATGTCAGGTGGCACTGTGCCATGGAAACGACATATTGAAAACAAGAAAAACAGCAGTTGATGAGATTTCTTTATGGCAACAGGCAGAACACACAGGTCCCTTCCAATGTTGAGAGCAGAGGGGAAATGTGGTAGTGGTGTTTGCAATACCGGTGATTAATTTTAGTTTTCTTCATCATTCACTCATTAAATAGTGTAAAACAGGCTTTTCTGAGTTGGTACGTGGGGTGAACCATCCTGTGCCTTTTATCTGCATGATGTGAAGTTTGGTGTGAACGGTCTCCATTGCCCCTCAAGAATTATGTTCGTTCCTGAGTTGCATGCGTGTGCATGAACAGAAATACATCCTCTCTGGCTAGGTTTCTGTAAGAGAAGTGTGACAGACAAGGCTACAACAGGGAAAAATACTTCCACTAAGATGATGCAAAACGTGTCGTGCTGCTACACTTTTATTTATTTTACAATGACTCTTCTGCTCAATTTATGCCAGTATTTACCTGTATACATGAGCACTGATTTGTACACTTCTAAAATAAAAACAGGGGCTAGTCAATTGATAAATGGGGTTTAATATGCATTTTCAGATGGACATGCATTGACTGTGGCATAACATCTCCACGTGTTAACTGTAACATGTGAACAGGGCTTACAGCCTTTGTGATTGGTGGGGCCAGGGGAGACGATTCGCTTTTTAAATGCTACCCTTTCTTCAAGGAGCTCAGGGTGGCATATGTGGACTTCCTCCTCCTCATTTTATCCTTACAACAACCTTGTGAATCTCTGACTCCTTGGGGGGCGGGAATATGTGTTTTTTGGGGGTTTGTGTATTTATTTATTTATGGGGTAAAGTAGGTGGGACGGCAGTGCAGAATCAGTGGTGAGTCATACTTTGGGAGCCATTCCAGTTGAAACGCAGGCTACTGTAAGCAAGTAAATAAACAAAAGATATTCTAAAAATAACTCATTTTTAGACTATCATGGGTTTTTTATTTACTCGCTTCCACTAGCCTGTCTTTCAACTGGAATGGCTCCCAAAGTAGTTTACGATAGAACTGTTTTCAGATAAAACAACTGAAGTTTAGAAATCTAAAATCCAATGGGAAAAAACTCTGTCCAAATAACTGCAACAGGACAATCAAAATGGCACTAGAATAAACAGAAGTAACTGTTGAAGGCACGGTAGAAAACTTTCTCAGAGTTTACTCCCTCTGAAAACAAGAGACAGTGCCTTCCAAACACCAGTGGGACGGAACAGAATTCGAGAGAAGAGCATTTGTCTGGCAGCTGACGTGAAGTAGTGGCTAAAACCATGAGATGTGGCCTCTAGTTCAAATCTAATCTTTGTTCACATCCAATTGGCTTTAAGAAAATGCCTATTTCTGAACTTTTTCCATCTTGCAGGGTTGTTGTAAGATGACTAATGAAACTGAGCTGAGAGTGGAGTCATTCAGCATAGGATTATACTGTTGGTATTTGGCATGCATTTGGTGAACTGTGTTGCATTCCAATTACGATGATTTTAAAGATGGAAATTAACATTCCTGTACATTAGTATTCTTGATTTGCCCTCTTTATTTATTTATATTATTTATTTATTTATATTATTTATTTATTTATTTGATTTATAGGCCGCCCTCCCTGCGAGCGGGCTCAGGGTGGCTAGCGGGCTCAGGGCGGCTGTTGAAGGCACAGCCAGATTAGGGCACACACACATAATTGCCTGTTAAACATGTTTTAAAACTAATTCTTCCAATGCTTTAATATAGTCAGGTTTGGGAGGACAAGATAGGCTGGAACAGTGGGCTGAGACAAATAAAATGAATTTCAGTAGAGATAAGTGCAAAGTCTTTCACTTAGGTACAAAAAAATCAAAGGCACAGATATAGAATGGGAGGGACTTAGCTTGACAGCAGCACATGTGAAAGGGATCTAGGTGTTCTGGTTGATCACAAGCTAAACATGAGCTTGCAGTGCGATGTGACTGCGAAGAAAGCTAATGCAGTCTTAGGATGCATTAACAGAAGCATTGTGTCCAGATCACGGGAGGTGGTAGTTCTGCTCTATTCTGCTATGGTCAGGCCTCACCTGGAGTCCTGTGTCCAGTTTTGGGCACCACATTTCAGGAAGGATGCTGACAAGCTCGAGCATGTCCAGAAGAGGGCAACCAGGATGGTGAGAGGGTTGGAATCCAAGTCTTATGAGGAAAGGCTGAAAGAGTCGGGTATGTTTAGCCTGGGAAAGAGAAGGCTTAGAGGGGACATGATTGCAGTCTTCAAGTGTTTGAAGGGCTGTCATGTAGAAGATGGAGCGGATCTATTCTCTCTTGCTCCGGATTGCAAGACTAGATCTAATGGGTGGGAATTCCAAGGGAGTCGTTACCGGCTAAATATCAGGAGAAACTTCCTAACTGTAAGAGTGGTTGAGCAGTGGAACAGACTGCCTCGGGAGGTGGTGGATGCTCTTTCGCTGGACGTTTTCAAGCGGAGGCTGGATGACCATCTTTCGGATATGTTGTAGGGCTATCCTTCGGCTATGCTCCTGCAGAGTGTAGGGGGTTGGACTAGATGACCTGCAAGGTCCCTTCCAGCTCTAACAAAAGTGCAGAAAAGGGCAACTCGAATGATAAAAGGGTTGGAACACTTTCCCTATGAGGAAAGGTTAAGGCGCTTAGGGCTCTTTAGCTTGGAGAAACGACGACTGAGGGGTGACATGATTGAGGTTTATAAGATTATGCATGGGAAAGAACAGGTAGAGAAAGAGGTACTTTTCTCCCTTTCTCACAATACAAGAACTCGTGGGCACTCCATGAAATTGCTGAGCAGTCGGGTTAGAACGGATAAAAGGAAGTACTTCTTCACCCAAAGAGTGATTAACACTTGGAATTCACTGCCACAGGAAGTGGTGGCGGCTACAAGCATGGACAGCTTCAAAAGGGAATGAGATAAGCATATGGAGCAGAGGTCCATCAGTGGCTATTAGCCACAAGGTATAGATAGGGACTCTGGGGCAAGTGATGCTCTGTCTTCTTGGTGCTTTGGGGGGGGGGGTCAACAGCGGGATGGCTTCTAATGTCCTGGCCCCACTGTGGACCTCCTGATGGCACCTGGTATTTCTGGCCACTGTGTGACGCAGAGTGTTGGACTGGATGGGCCTTTGGCCTGATCCAACATTGGCGTCTCTTATGTTCTTATGATGATGGGGGGAAACATTACAAAAGGGTGACAGACCTGTCAATGAAGCAAAGGCAAGTGGTCCATTTCTGCAATTATGACAATTTGGTAATATATATTCTCCCCCCTGTGTTTTACTCCTAGGACACAGACTGGTCTGAACCATGGCTCATAGGGCTTGTCTGTTTCCATGCATCATGCCTGTGTCTCACTTACCTTTCCTTCCGCCACTACCGCCTGCAAATAGGGCATTTTCTCTTCCTCAGTGAGTATTGAAAGAAGAATTTTTATGACATTTTTGTTTAATGTTGGGTTAGGATCCAGACTTACTTAAGGCTGAAGAACTTGGCCACTCTTAATTCTCAGCCAATGCGTATAGTCTTTCTAAACCCTATGCTGTGTATTGAATGCTGATGTGTATTTATTAACGGTATAAGCACTGACCTCGAGCCAGACAGCTAGTTGAGGTGAAGGTATCCCAGCTGAGCTATTCAAAGTCTTAAAAGAAGATGCTGTTAAAGTGCTGCACTCAATTTGCCAGCAAATTTGGAAAACGCAACAGTGGCCACAGGATTGGAAAAGGTCAGTATACATTCCAATCCCAAAGAAGGGCAATGCCAAGGAATGTTCAAACTGTCGCACAATTGCACTCATATCACATGCTAGCAAGGTCATGCTCAAGATCCTACAAGCTAGGCTCCAACAGTACGTGAATAGAGAACTGCCAGAAGTACAAGCTGGGTTTCGAAGAGGTAGAGGAACTAGAGATCAAATTGCCAACATTCGCTGGATTATGGAGAAAGCAAGAGAGTACCAGAAAAACATCTACTTCTGCTTCATTGACTATGTTAAAGCCTTTGATTGTGTGGATCACAATAAACTATGGCAGGTTCTTAAAGAGATGGGAGTACCAGACCATCTCACATGTCTCCTGAGAAACCTGTATAAGGGTCAAGAAGCAACAGTTAGAACCGGATATGGAACAACTGATTGGTTTCGCATAGGAAAAGGAGTACGACAAGGATGTATATTGTCACCTTGCTTATTTAATTTATATGCTGAGTACATCATGCCAAATGCTGGCCTGGATGGATCACAAGCTGGAGTTAAGATTGCTGGGGAAAAGATCAATAACCTCAGATTGCAAACGATACCACTCTGATGGCAGAAAGTGAAGAGGAGCTAAAGAGCCTCTTGTTCAGGGTAAAAGAGGAGAGCGCAAAAGTGGGCTTGAAGCTCAACATAAAAAAAACTAAAAAACTAAGATCATGGGATCTGGCCCCATCACTCCTTGGCAAATAGAAGGGGAAGTCGTAGAAGTAGTGACAGACTTCACGTTCCTGGGATCCCAGATCACTGCAGATGGTGACTGCAGCCATGAAATTAAAAGACGCCTCCTCCTTGGGAGAAAAGTGATGGCAAACCTAAACAGCATGATAAAAAGCAGGGACATCACCCTGCCAACAAAAGTCCACATGGTCAAAGCGATGGTATTCCCAGTAGTAATGTATGGCTGCGAAAGTTGGACTATAAGGAAGGCTGAGTGCCGAAGAATAGATTATTTTGAACTATGGTGCTGGAGAAGACTCTTGAGAGTCCCTCGGACTGCAAGGAGATCAAACCAGTCAATCCTAAAAGAAATCAACCCTGACTGTTCCCTGGAAGGCCAGATCCTGAAGTTGAAGCTCAAATACTTTGGTCACCAAATGAGAAGGGAGCACTCACTGGAGAAGACCCTGATGCTGGTAAAGATTGAAGGTCAAAGAAGAAGGGGACGGCAAAGAATGAGATGCTTAGACAGTGCCATCGATGCAACGAACATGAAATTGAGCAAGCTTCAGAGGACAGCGGAAGACAGGAGGGCCTGGCGTGATCTGGTCCATGGGGTTGCGAAGAGTCGGACTCGACTGTGCGACTGAACAACAAAAAGCACACCTTTCTCCTAGTGCCAAAGTAGGACTTAAGGCAAATGACAAACACAAAACAATTTACAACACAAAGTATGAAACTATAATGTATAAAAAGTGTGCCTTCACATAAACAGTATTTCTCTGGCCCTCAGGCATGATCAGAACAAAACTCAACATAAAAGGCTGCCCAACACATGAAAACATCAATAACTTTTAAAAGAAAGAAATACTAAATCTCTAGTCATAATTTGGCAACCAAATGAAACCAATAACAATCAAAGTTTGTATTCAGATTAAAATTGAACACAATATAATTAGCTTTATAACGGAATCGTTACAAAATTGTCAGTGATCCAAAAGTTGGTGGGATGAGAAAAATCAGTGGGATACAGTGATTCATGGTTATAAGTTATATTGGAAGAATGGGGGAAGACTTGGAGATGGGGTGGCTCTGTATGTCAAAGAGGGTATACAGTCCAGTAAGACTGAGAAGGTAAGAGAATTGGATTTGGTTCTGGAAATGCTATGGGTCATAATAGTGGACCCCAAAGAAAGCTTAACACTGGGAGTTTGTTATCGCCCACCAGATCAAAAGATAGAAGAGGATTATAAAATGATAGATGAATTAAAGATAGCAGCTAGATGAAATAACTGTGTCGTAATTGGTGATTTCAACTGCCCACACATTGATTGCGTCAATATGTGTTTAAGTCGGGCAAAAGAGATTGAGTTTCTAGACATTCTCAATGACCGTACTATGGAGCAGATGGTCACAGAAGCTACCAGGGGAGAGATGATCCTGGATTTGGTCCTAAGTAACACCCATAATCTGGTGAGAGATGTAAAAGTGATTGCACCGCTTGGAAACAGTGACCATAATGTTATTGAGTCCAACATTTGTATAAATAGGGAGTTGCCCAAAAAGACCAACAAACCCACTTTTATAGGACAGCTAATCAAATTTGTTTGATATTTTAGCTAGTGAGATCAAAAGGCAAGTTTAGATTCCTACTCCAACCTTATCCTATAAAGTGGTAATATGAGTTAATGTTGAGTTAATGTTGTCCAGGATTATATACTATAAATTGGGTTAAGAGCTTTTATTATAAGTAAATGGTAACTGAAATCTCTTGGTTGATATGAAAAGTAATATTAATGAGGTGGTTGTTACATCATAATTGTTGAGAGAATGTAGGTTAAGGAGTGGAATGCAGAATGTAAAGAAAGGGATTTGTTGTAAGTAATAGAAGTACTATTATCACCCAGATGATTCAAGATTAAAGGGGAAGTTTTGGATATTGTATAAAAAGCAGGACAGGAACTTATGACTGGGAGTGGAATAAGAGATTGGTATAGAGAGTAAAATAAAAAATAGGCTCCTAGGTCATTAGAAATGAAATAAATTGATGTGGCTAGGATATTTAATTTGGAATAGAGAGCAAAATGGAATCCTACTACTAGGTAATTAAAAATGAAATGTATTGTAAGTAGTATAAGTTTATTAATTTTTCAAGTTGGTTTGGAATTAGTGAGTATGGTATACTGTTAAATATAGTAAATTTGTTAGGGCAGCTGGTTAAAGCACTAGGCAATAGAAATGAACAAGATGAACTGGAATAGATGGTTACTTGGGATGTTACAGGAATATATTAGTTTGTATTCCCATCTTGTTCAGAGAATGAAAGGTGCTGCTCAAAAGAGTTTGAATTAGGTAGTTAAGTAGGAGTTTACAATGTGGCTCTAATGTGTAAAAATATATAGGCGGATTGATTTTCTAAATTAAACTGCCTTTGGTATTCTTACTGGGAATAAGAATGGAAAAATATGTTTCATTGGCTTAATGATGGAAATGAATTTAACAGGATTGTTAGGTGATTAATTAATTGTTGAGTATAATAGCTTTGACCGGTTGATTATTAGAGCCTTAAAATAGTTAGATCACTACAGTTGTTAAGTCAAGATACAAAGGGATATGGCAGGAAAAATCAGAGAAGTAAAATTGAATTAGCTAAAGATCCTAGGTAATGTAACTGAAACTCATAAACTATGCCATTTGATCAATGTGAAGTGTTGAGAATTTAGATGGCTTGTGAATCTTATGTTTTGTTGTTGATTTGTGTACATGTGTGTTTGTCTAGTATAAAACCTTAATAAATATATATTTCAAAAAAAAACCCCACTTTTAACTTTAAAAGGGGTAGCTTCTCTGAAATGTGGGGACATGTGAAGAGAAAACTGAAAGGAAAAGTAGAAAGGGTCAAAACCATTGGGGAAGCTTAGAGGTTATTTAAAACTACAATCCTAGAAGCTGAGAGAAAACATATACCGCAGGTTAGGAAAGGCACAAATATGTATAGAAAAAGGCCTGCATGGTTAACGAAGTAATGGAAGCTGTAAAAGGTAAGAAGGATTCCTTTAAGCAGTGGAAAGCTAGTCTCAGTGAGGTTGATAAAAGGGAACACAGGCTGGGGCAAATAAAATGCAAGTCTGTGATCAGGCAGGCAAAAAGGGAATATGAGGAGCATATAGCAAAAAACATAAAGACCAACAATAAAACTTTCTTTGAATACATTAGAAGCAGGAAACCAGGCAGGGAGACAGTGGGGCCCTTGGATGACCAAAGGGTAAAAGGATTACTGAAGGATGATAGGGAAATGGCTGAGAAGCTGAATGCATTTTTTGCCTCTGTCTTCACTGTGGAAGATGAGAAGTGCTTGCCCACTCCAGAACCGCTGATTTCGGGAAGGATGTTGAAAGACCTGAGTCAGATTGAGGTGACAGTGCAAGCGGACAGCAAGGGAGTAATTTTTTAGTACTGCTGCACATGTAGAAATCTTCCATCCCACTAGATCTACATTCCCTTTATGAAAATGCCTTCCTGATCAACAAGACAATGGAAGTGTGGGAGCCTCCCTCACCTTGTAAGGGGCCCCACAACAGACGATACTTGAGCCCATTATGATCCATCTAGTTGTTAGTTTTATAACCCACCGTAAATGCCATATTATGGGGAAAAGGCAGCATATAGATGTTATGCAGGCAAAGCATGTATTTTACCCTGCAGTTTTGGGTCCTCCAGGTAATATTTTAGTACAGATGGCTTGATTATGGTCTCATATACTGTATGCAGCACTATGCTCAGTATCCTTTAATGATTTGAAAACTGCCATTGTCTTTTCCGTTGCAGTGATCCTGGTGTTCTGTGCAGAATACATCAATGAAGCTGCTGCTGCAAACTGGAGGTAATGACATGAATGTTTGTATTTGCTAACTAAATACTTTCCGCTATGACCAATGCTCCCTCTAAGTTATGGAGTCTTGTGAGCAAAAATTCTACTTTGTGAGCTATTGGCATTAAAGTTGTGAGCGAGCGATTTGGCTACTGCATAAATTAGTTTGCTCTGGAGCCATCCTTCCTGAGCCAAGACAAAAATGTGTGAGCTGGAGGCTAAAAAACTGAGTTAGCTCATACTAACTCAGCTTAGAGGAAACACTGGCTATGACCCCCCTCTCCCAAGTCATTCACTTCCCATTCTTTTTGGCTACATGTTGTCATGGGTGTGTTACAGTTTTATTGTTAACAAAGCATCAGTCCAAGTGGTTTTGACATCCCATAGATTTCTGTGGGAGAGCCAAGCACAGGTCCAGCCCATATGTTTAGTGTTCTGGATATTTTTTATTGGGAACAAGATTGTTTAGTTCATAATACACACACATAAGAATGTTCTGTAATTTAGGCCTAGTCTGAAAAACTGCAGTTTACTAATCTTGTCTGGGAGTTGAGTAGACCCCAAAGTCAGCCACAAAAATAAGAAACCAGGGCGTTGTATTACATCTGCCACCAGATGTGGGAGGTGGGGCATCCCTTTACAGAATAGCAGCCAAAATGAGAAAATAAGAGAAAATTGGGAATATATAGCATCTTATTAATTTTTGCTTATATGTTGCTTTTGCAGTGTGCAGGTTTAAATGAAAATGACTCCTGCAGTGCTGAAGTTCACATTGCTCTTTTAAAAAATACTGGGGAGGGAACATGAAACACTACAGGGCAATTAACTTCATACTGCCAGTTTGGTGTATTGATTAAGAGCAAAAAACTCTAATCTGGAGAACCAGGTTTGATTTCCCTCTCCTTCACATGTAGCCGCTGGGTGACCTTGGGTCAGTCACAGTTCTCTCAGAGTTGTTCTCTCAAGAGCAGTTCTCTCAGAGCTTTCGCAGCCTCACCTACCCCACAGGGTGTCTGTTGTGGGAAGGGAAGGAGATCGTAAACCGCTCTGAGTGAAGGGCGGGGTATAAATCCAATCTCCTCTTCTTCTACCGCTTGAGGAAAACATGGAGTGTAGAGACTGAAGTGTTATCAGGTATTTTTTCCCCCCATTGCGCCAGGTCAATTTGACCCAAGTTCTGAGGTGAGAGCAAAAACTGTTTTGTTAAAGAAATGGAGAAGTAACCTGCAGCGCTGTGCCCTGTAATGGGGACCAGCTAAGCCACCGGGACAGCGGAGTGGTAAAGCGCAACCAGAGAGCGAAAAGGCAAAACGGCAAACTGTGAGTCGATCGCTTCAATAGAATCGGCGGCAAAAGGCTTAAAAGCCTCCCCCCCTCGAAAAGAAGTGGAAAGGAGGGAGGAGGAAACCCCCCCCCCCCCCGGGGGGGGCTTTTTTTTTCCCAAGGGGAAGGGGGGGGGGGG